AAAAAAAAAAAAAAAAAAAAAAAAAATCAGTTATGTATGTTATGCAGTTATAACATTTCTAATGATATGATTGGAAGAGGCTTGTCAGTTTTATATAAATATACCAGATGATGTAATTACTTCCCCTTTTATTTGTGCAACTATAGAGCACTTAGAGTTTCTGAAGTTCTTCCATATTCTCATTTGATCTCATTTGACAGGAGACTTTAAAAGACTGAATACAGTGGAAGAGGGCATTAACCTAGGCTTGCAGGTTAAAATGTGACCTAATCACAAGACTGTAGCTTCATATTTAAAAAAAGAAATTTTTTATGGTCCAGACAAATGTGCTGCAGTATACTGTTTGCCTCTTATTCCTGCTCTTCTGACAGTCTGTAAGGTTAACAAAGCAGTGAAAAATAAGCACAGAATATGTTTGTTTCATCTCCCTCAGTCAGTACACATGCTAATAAGGCTCCCACCAGGGAGACCCTTCCTCCTGTAAGGAACTGGCCAGAATTTTTGACTCGATGAGCCCAACTCCATTATGAGCAACAGATAATGGTTTTGAATATATCAACACTGCATGGTTATCTTTTGCAACAACAACAAAAAATAAGTTATGGTTTTAAAATGCATGAGTATTTGAAGGGTAGAGTGAAAGGAAAGACATCCAATGTACACTGTACCACCCAGGCTGGCTGCCCTCTGAAAATGATACAGGGCTTACAGGAAACTAGTACCACCCCATCTACTGTCCTCCATAATCAGATGTCATAGCAAACTGTCTGCTTAGGGATGGTCAAAGGCAGAATAGCTCCTTTACAATTCAAAAATTATAGTTCTTTTCACTAAGAGAATACACATACACACACACACACACACACAGCCTCTAGGCTGGAAGTAGTAAAGTAGATAGACAGTTATAATAAAAGGGAAATTATAGTATAATAAGGAGTCAAAGGAAATCATATCTAATTAGAGAGGAAAGAGAAGTGCTTCTTATGAAAAAGATTGCATTTGATGGAACACTCAAATGCAGGTAGGATTTCAACCTGGAGAGTCATGGGATGGAGTATGTGCTCTGTAGGCAAAGGGAACAAGTATTAACCAGGACAAGAAGTTGGAAAGTGTGTGGCGTGTTCAGATAACCAGCCTCATCAGTCAAAGTCCTCTCTTCTTGGCATGGCTTGTGAAGCCTCTCCTATTCTCTTCCCAGCTACCTGTCCATCCTGCCTCTCCAGCTGCTTCCCCAGGGTTTGAGCTATGGCCATTCCTCCAAAATGTCATGCTCTACTCCATGCAGCTGCCTCCTCTGCCTTGCATGCCTGCAGTGCTGCCTACTTGGCCCTATTTCTCTCCTTATTATTCTAACATTCTAGAACTAGAAAGGACGTTGAAGGTCATCTGGGACAATTAACTCCATTGTTGCTCCCCCTGTCCTATTATTTCAAGGTTTTTTTATTGCCATGAAATCTCCCTCTTTCATTTCTTCTTTTATCCCTGGAAAGTCTGAAATTACTTACAGGACTGGTTATATTCAGTAGCCAGAGGCAGCTGCCTTTGCTTCCGAATAAGCCCACTCCTCACTTCTGGCGCACCCATAATTTCCATGAGAGCAATCAAAACGATCAGAAGGAACCAACTCTCACTGTACTGATAGGAAACGCCTGTTCTAACAAAAGAGTTCCAGCAAAATCTGGTGCAAGTCTGGATTTGTTATTAATTAGTCAAAAATAGTATTGTAGAGCAATTCATTTCAACTTTCTTGTGTGTATGAATAAGCTCGGAATCTTGTTAAAATGCAGATTCTGGTTTACTGGGTCTGGACTACAGTCTAAGATTCTGAACTTCTAACGAGCTTCCAGGTGATGTCAAAGCTACTAATCCTTGAAACACAGCTTGGATAGCAACACTGTAGAGAATATTAGAGAATTTTTAAAGTAGTAGAACCATAGTAGAACCATGGACCATTCCATTGGATTTAGTAAACAGTTAATATCTTCCTGTGTCAGTCACTAGATATTCAAAAATGAACAATCAACAAGAGAGACATGATCTCTCAAAGATTTTAGAGTGTTGTGGGGTGAAAGACACATGCACAGATTTTAAAATAACGTGGTAAGTGCAGGTTGCTTTGGGTGTATAGAGAAGGCTTTCTTAGCCCAAGGACATGATGGCAAACTCCCATGGTGGGCAGAGGAGGTGCCCATGGAGGACAGAGATGAAATGGTCAGAGTCAGTAGAAGGAAAACTAAGAGGAGTCCAAAGGAAGAGAAGGCAATTTCAAGAAGGTCTCTGTGGTTAGATAAGACAGAGAGGCCTGACGGGCTGGGAGCTTGGGTGCCTAGTGGCGCTCAACACAGAGAAGACAGGCCGGGAGTACATGTGACCCACTTGAGAGATCGTGTAGACAAACCCCACCGTTTACAAATAAGGAAACTGAGGCCCTGAGAGGAAGAGCACTTGTCCTGAGCCCTGTAATCCTTAGCTACAGACTTAAATTTATTGATATCTAACCTAGAACTTTAAAGAAGAAAAACAAAACCAGGAAAGTACAGACGAATTGTAAGTAGCACAGTTTCATTACGTAAAAAATCCTACTGACATCAACAATCAGAAAGGGATGTTTAACATGCATGATATGCACATTTTGTGCTAAACACTCTGCTAGGCCCTTCTATTTACATTACCTTGTTCTATCTCTGAATCGACCCCAGCAAGTAGGTATTATTCCAATTATTATGGAAGACACATTTGAGACTCTAGTGGCCTATGTGAGAGAAACACATGAGTAACTAATAACAGAGAGCCTGGGAACTGAAGTTTAGTGGGAGGTCCTGGGCTCCTGGGCTGTTGTCACTACTGTGTGATTCTTCTCTGGCAAGCAGAGTTACTCCATTACAGGAAGAGACTACGGGAACATTAATAACACATGTCTGTATTATAATTAGACATAGATCAGGAAAGGAAAGCAAATCATTTTGGAAATGATTTGTCCAAATCATTTGACATGAATTTGTCTAGCGTTTAGTAGATGGTTCAATTTCACTGATTTTATGTCTTGCAAATTCAGTTTGAGGCAGACAGACGTGCTTTTATCATCACTCTTAACTCCTTTGGCACCGAGTTGAGCAAAGAGGACCGCGAGACCCTCTACCCAACCTGTGGCAAGCTCTATCCCGAGGGACTGCGCCTGCTGGCCCAAGCAGAGGACTTCGAGCAAATGAAGAGAGTAGCGGACCATGGAGTATGTGTTTATCCCAGGTTCCCGAAATGTCTTGTGTGATTTCATCACATGTACTTTAGAAGCCCGCATATCACATTTACACTTCCTATCTATCTAAAACATTTATAATGTTTGTGCAATAGAAAGCAGTATCTCTTGCTGTAATGTCTCTCCCAAAGAAATATGCTGAGTTCCTAACCCAAGCTATTGGTGTTTTTTAAGGTCCCTGCCAAGCAAGTACTTGTTTAAATCTCCAAGGAACGGTCATTTGAGCCTTTTTTTTTTTTAAGTGCTTGATAAAGCAAGTTCCCCAAGGGACTGGTGCAGTGTTCTGGAAATGTGAGCTCATGCCAGAGTTATGTAAAAGAACCTGACCCAGCCATCCTTTCAAATGCCCATTGGGCAAACAGTGTTAGGTACAGACTGTCTACTTGAAGGACAGGGGAAAATATGGACATAATGTTTATACCACTCCCTTTGCTCAGTGGCCAGGATTCAGGAAAGGGAAGGAGGGCTGCTATGTCCTCTCCTACTCTAGCACCCAGTTGCTCTTAGAGAGCCTGAAGCTTCTCAGCTCAAGGTTATAACCTCATCCCCTGGTACCGTTCCTTCTGACCTGCAGACAGCAACATACAGATCTTCCAGGTAGCTTTTCTAGAACTGGAATGACACCCCTCTTATCTGCCTATGGATTTCCGAAACCCTCCAGGAAAGATAAGCCAGCAGAAAATGCGTGAACCTTTGTGACATCTCTTGTGTCACTGCAAGAGGTTCTTTAGCATAATATTAAAATTTGAGTTTCTCCCCAATTTCCACCCGTTCCTCACTTGAAATTCCATAATGAATTTTAATCAGTTGTCATCTTAAAGAACCCATGAAGCCATACTGATTAAACCACAAGCACTCCTTTAGCCTCTATAATGTGTCTAACTAGCCCTAAGAATCAAATGTGGAAATCAGCTCAGTGTACACTGAAAGTAGAACTGCTTTTGCCTCTTGCCTTGTAGGCCTGAACAAGCCAATAGGATGGAATGCCATCTGTACTCTCGTTGTTTGGATTTTCTGGGTGGATAGATTTTCTAAGATGGGTGCACAGTTTCTATATTGCTGGAAAAATATAGTTTTTATATTTATAAAAAATGAAAATTTGTTAAAAAACAATTTCTTGTCTTTGTTTTTCAGGTATACAAGCCTTTGTTTGAGGCTGTAGGTGATGGCAGTGGGGGAAAGACATTGGAGGATGTGTTTTATGAACGTGAGGTATGATGTAAATGGAAATGCTGCTAGCTTATGCACTCTTTTTCTCATACTCTGGGTCTTAGTATTTCTTTGTTTTTACTTGGGTTTTCTTTTTACAGTTGATCAGGCCAGTTGATTATATACATTCATAGTTTGAATGGGTATTATTTAGTATCTCTGCCTTGGAGAGTCAAGGCATTGTGGTTCACATATGACGGCTTCTTGTGGGATTGTCATATCCAGACAGATGTGCACATAGCAAAGCTGTGGAAGTAAGGCAGCCATTCTGTAATTATCTAGAGAAACAAAGCTAGGATGTTCTCATGATCACATACTGACTGTCCTCAGGGGGCACACCCTGTTAAGTGCATCCCACTGGAATCCATCCCTTTTTCAAGAAGGATTTATCACTCCTGTGCACAATTAGAACACTTAGGAATTATTTGC